AACCTGTGCGCCATCACTAAATCGTGCGTGCTAAACCGCTCTATTGTAGCTGGTCGGATTAAAAATACATCTTTGACCTAGAAACCAGCAAATTCCACAGGCCGCGCAAAATAACCGAAAAACAACAAGCAAATAATGACGAAAATGTTTTACACGGATCGACCAAAATTGAATATTGGTTAAATTAATTTTAACAAAAAATAAGAAGAATCCGTTTTCCGCCGAATTAACCTGGCGTACCGAAAGTCCCAAACGACCCAAATCAGCGATCTACTGATATGTTCGGATGAAGAAGCACACTGGAACCGACAGTAATCCAATTTACCCACCGGTACAGGAAATGCCGAAAAGCCTAGCTCCTTCCAACCCCTTTCTACGAAATCCTGAACTGGCTGAAAGCGATCCTGTCCACTGTAACGACGAAGGGAAAAGAAAGGAAACGGTTAGGATGGGTGCCCAAAAATCAACACCATTTTAATAACTTAGAGCCAACGCCCAGGAGACATAATGTCGGATATTATAAGTGGAAGACCAGACAGTCAAACCGGCAAGTTTGCTCAGGGTAGTATACACACTGCTAGCAGCCCCTCCAGCCTCTTGCTCACGAACCAATTGTCTTTCCCTAGATTCAACCAAAATATGTCATACCATCAGACTGACCGAAATGGTCTGATTTGAAGCGGATTTAAGAAATTCTCTCAAGTTAAACGTAACAGCGGGCATTGCGTTATAATTTAGCACTCCAGCGACAGGAACCTCTCCATAACACCGTCAAAATGGCCGGAGTATACGCTACTGGGACAAGCAACCCCACAGTTTTTACCGCCAAGATAGTCGACTAGGAGACCAAATCTCATGTCACTATCTTAGATACACTATACGGCTCCGTAATACCTTATGGGAAACCCCGCAGGTACAACAAACCATTTGCTGGAGGACACCAGGTATAACCAAATACCCATCCTGGCTACTTAGGATAGGTTGGTTTCCCTATTTTATTAGATAGCTTGGGGGGGGGGAGTAGGACACCCTTCCGTTGACTATGTCAATTATGTGGATAAGTTTAATGACTATACACAATTTAGAAGGATTTTCGCGTCCTTTGAGCAAATTTAATCGCATAGTGCAGAGTATGGAAGCTTTTTTTTTATTTAAACGAATATTGTTATAATATTATGAATACTAAAAACATTCATTGTTTGCTGTACAATTGGGACAAAGAACAAGTTTTTAAGTATATAGTATGCAAAACAAATAAACCGCAAAACAAATAACTACCGAATACCAATATTTCCCATCTACATATCTATGTTAATTTTATTAATCACGCCATATAAAAAACACACCGAATCGAATCTGTTTCCACTGTTCAGCCAACTTTGGTATCAAAGACGTACTCCTGGTTCAACAAAGTGTTTGAAAAATAATACCATTATGCATTTCAAACGCGCTGTTATTCTTTGTGCATTATACTTTGTGACGATGACACAGGTAAATAAGAAACATATAATAAAAATATAATTGCAATAAACAAAATTTTAAAAAAGTTGGTAGTTTTTAGAATGTATTTTAATGATTTATTTATGTTACTTTATAGAGCATCGGACTCACTAGAAGTATAATCGAGAAGATTGTTGTTGAATTCGAAAGATTTGAAAACTCTGTAGACCAAATTTCCCCAAACGAAATCGAAAAAATTATAAATGATATGGGCGTGCAGGATTTGTCAGGTTTTACATACGAAGCAGGTAATAAAGTATATTTTATACAGGGTTTAAACTTTACGATTGTAATCAAATTTTACCCCATTCAGAAAAATTATATCCGACATACCAATATTTACCAATTTTTCAATTTAACGCACACGTCTTGGCTATCTCGACTGAAAATTGCTAAGAATTTTATTATATTTTAATGTTCAATGTAGATACGAAAGATGGTCGAAAAGTACAACAACTTTTGGTACTTCTGGCCAAAACCGATATGCCATCTGACCACTGGCTGGTAATAACAAAAAAAAAAAAAACATGAAACAATTTAAAAATTATCCGATTTTCTTATTTTTACGCACTATTTTTCTTTACATAGAAACGGAGATTTGCAACCCATGAAGTAACAATTTACTTGAACCTGTTCAGATACCACGACGAAAACGGGGGTGTTGAGGACGGTCTACTTGACTTTAAAGAATTAAAAAATGTCATTCAAGCTTTAAGTTTGAATGAAGACGAGAAAGAAAGTTTGGCAAAAACGTTTAAAGGTGTTATTGAGTAAACGAAGCAAATAATTGTATTCTTAAGGTTGATAATTTAAATTAATTTTTATAGGTGACCTAACAATTAATTTCGCAGAGTTCTTATTGGCCTTTGTGGATATAAAACCAGAGGTAAGAAATTATGGTTTCGTTAAATGCTTGATAAGTTATACATGTTATAATGCTTTTGCATTGGCGTGGCATTTAAAATGTCTTAGAGAAATATATTTTGTATAATTTATCGCATTAAAGCATTAAAAAAAGTCAAAATGTATTCGTACACTTTATAATTATATGGTTTTAAAACTTTTACTTAGGGCAACGGTCTAACAGAGAAACATATTAAGGAGCTGGTCCTAATTAAAGATACCAACGTAGTTGTCCCTTACATAAATAATACTTATGTAACAGAGTTTATCAAAAAGTTATCTATAGTTGATGTCCAGGATATGAATTGGACTTTTGAACGCTTTCGTAAGAATATACTTTTGATATATTCTCGTTTGTTCTAAATACCGTTTTATATAGAGTTGGCAAAATAACTTTTCATCTGTACGAAGCAATAAGTACACAGTAATCTTAATTGCAATGTAATATTTGTTATGTTTCTCAACTATGTTTTAATAAGTATAATTTAATAAAATAAAACAAATTATTTAATATTTTGACCATAGAAAATTATGCTTTGGAGTGTCAAGAGCTGGTGGTTTTTGCAGCAGAATACAACAAAACGGCCGAAGTAGAAGTAATATTAATTGTTTTATTACGATTGCCTTTCATATGCTTTTATCAGGACGCTCCTACCCATTTATTGAATGGAATAATGTATAGGAAATTTTCCGTAAAGGTTTAATCTAGAGCTTAATCTTGTGTGCATACTCATTAACACAGCAACGAAGATTGTTTATTGGTTATAGTTTTTTTGTTGCCAGTCTTTCTTTAGTAAAACATACAATTTATTTTTTACATAGTTTTGCGCGAATCATAAATTAAATACTAAAAAAATAAAAAATGTATAGAAAAAAAATTATTGGATCTTCAAAAAAATTGTACTAGGTAGTATGCTCTTCTACTTTCCTATGGAAATTTGGTCAACTCAATGCTATCGCAGCTCATAGAGTATATTTTATCAGGTCAATCCATGTTATCACACTACAAATGACGAGTGAATAGCGTTTGTGTGTGCACTATATAATCTAAAAACATAAATGTCTACGTGAATTACTTTGTTGATTTCTCAGCATGAACTTGTCATTCCTACCTCTGAAGTTAGAGTTAAGTTATCGGATTTCGCTTTTCACGACAAAAACTTTGACGGCTTACTCAACGGAATAGAACTTGACGAATTTGTGCGCAACCATTTTAAAGGAGATACTGTTGGAGCTCTCCTTAAATGCGGCGATATCAATGGTAATGTTGTAAATTAAAGCGTTAACGAATCGGCTTAATTATATTAAATAACTATCATAGTGAGGACGAGCATAGTGTACGATCTAGGGGGTTTTACGTGTGTAGACATTTTTCCGAGTGAACTTATTAAAATAAATCTCGAGAAACCACCGTGATAATATGTACATAAAACGGACGGTAGTAGAAGAAAAAATTGTATCCTATTATGAAAAATGTCCATTATTCAATTGGTATGCGATTTACGATGAAATAAATTATTTTGGTTTTTTGTATCATCGTTAGGGTTAATATTTAAGGATACGGTAAATACATTTTTTCTAACTATACTGTTTTGTGATATTAACGCGACGGGGAACGAGTGATTTTACAGTTCCCAAAAGTATTGTCAAAAAAATATTGCTAATGTTTCCAAAATAAATATGATAGTATAGTGGTCAAAGTGTTGAAGTAGAAGTGGACACAAAATAAAAATATAAACTACTTAACTAAAAATAGTTTTCTTTTCAGACGATAACAGTTTTGACATTGTGGAGTTATTTGTCGTCATATTTAAGAAGCGTGAGCGTTAAACTCATAATAAATAAACACAAAAGTTTTATGAGTTTTTTCTGAATTGAATATTATATAAAATGATTTACATACGAATATTATTTGGGAGTGCCTTAATTATGGGTAACAAGTATTAAATTTTATATTTTATTATTCTTTTCAAGGCTGTATAATTTCACACATATGTTTTAATTATTCAATGTTTTTAGTAAATATACAACGATTTTAAACCTTATTTTAAACAGTCTTGCAATATTTTAAAACTATCCACGCGATGAATCGCTGTTATAAGCTTTTAACATTATTACCGACACTGATCGAATAGCTCAATTAAAAAATCTACAATTTTGCTTTGCCCTCCCTTTCCACATCCCACCCACCTCATATAATTTTCCAAATATCATTTTAAGTGTATTTTACAATTTACTTTTCGTTAATTTTGAAGCAATAAAAAAGGTATGTTTATTTAAATTGTATTTTTTTAACAAAATTTTGTAGACATGCAAATGACAATTGGCGTATTATGACAATAGACAGGAAAAATGAATTTTTTTTTTTTTATTTCTATTTTATTGATGCTAGAATTCATGTTTTAGTTTTAAAACGCCACAAACGAGGCAGTCTTGATTTTTTGAGATACATCTAACTACGCAGTACCTAATGAATTTTGCATTACAATCAATTGGGCAAAAATGTAATACAAAACAAGTAGTTTCTAACGTATTTTGAATGTTTTGTTTGTGATTTTAAACGGCTTAAAACCAAATGGACCAATCACGTGGTTAGGTGACCAGACGAACAATCCTAGCATTTTCACTGTATGAGCGGTGGCTTAGTGATGATGATTAGGACACGGTACCGTTGACCATGTCAGTTACGTGGATAAGTTAAATGACTATACATATTTTTGAAGGATGTTCGCATCCCACGTAATCGCATAGTATTGTGTATGGAATTTATTTTTATTTATTTAAACGAATAATTTTATTATATAAAGATTTAATAGCATTTTATCGTTCGCTATAATGTTTTGGGTTTTTTGCGATGTACAGCAAATAAAACTATATTGTTATTTTATTTTACATAAGTAAATATGCAATATTTTTCTAGGTTACACTGTGCTTACAACTGTACAATCGGGTTAAAAACAACTCTTCAACTATAACATGTTATAATATATTGTATATTTTCATTGTGTTTATAAATTGTTTTGAATATTTTTTTTTTGTTTGGTAGGACCCTATTAATTATTACAAAAATTAAACCAAATACTTTTTTTAAACATTAATGGACACTTATAATTATTATTGCTCTAGATTGTAGATTAATTTTTCTTATGAACTCACCCGAAGTTTAGGAACCCGACTACCTAAAAAACAATTAAATTTAGATCTTCGTTTTACAGTGTCTATAGATTTTGATCTTTAATATAATATTTACAATGTATTTCTTACAACACATGTATCACTACACCACAATAGCTATATAGCAAAGACTGTGCTTCATTTTTAAAGATTTCATTTTACTTCATATTTTTAAAAATATTATTAAAAATAACGAACCCGACTAACACACATTCTTTGACATGAGTAGTTATAACTTATATGTATACAAAAAGTATTTCTAATTTTCATTAAAACGTCTGTATTGTACAACGATACGTTCATACTTTGTTTAACATTTAATATAAAGAAATGACAATAATACATATGTCTGTTGTTATCATGAAGTTTCAGGTTTAACATTATTAGAAGTGTAATATTCTACAAAAATAATTGTTAATGTGCACGCAACCTAACCTAACCCAGCCGGACAACTATAGAAGGCTAATCCATTTCTTAAAAAATAATGACGCCCAGTTCCACGCCTATCAGTTACAATCTGATCAATCTTTAAGAGTCGTTATCAGAAATTTACACCTATCCACCCCTGTGTTAGACATTACCTCAGCTTTAATAGGAAATAGGACACACTGTGAAAAATTTTATTAACGTTAATCACCAACAAACAAAAACACCTTTGCCCCTCTTCCTTGTTTTGAGTTTTGAGACTTTAAGTTGGGCAAAAATAAAAAAAATTATCGTGGTAATTATTGACCATAGTTATTATTCTTTGTTGCCACATACCTGACGATGATAAATATATCAATATATACATAATAATCATTAAGTACTCAGCAGATAAACATAGGTAAGGCTCATTCAGATCGTTGAATTTGTTCCAAGCACTTGCATTTGCACTTATGTTTTACATTTTAGTTATTTAGCTTTTTTAGTGAAAAAAACATTTTTTTCTAGCTAACGGATCAACATATAGCACTGAGTAAGCGTTTTAATATTGTGTATTAAAATATATAAATAGGCATATATTTCCTATATTATCTTGTAATTACAGAAATTCTATTTTATTTACACATCATTATTCGTTTTTTTTTTTTTTTTTTACATAATTAAGTGTAATAATAGTATATCAGAAAGTTGGTCAAATCTGCCCCTTTTTAATAACGATTTAGATTGTAGCCATTTTTAATTATTTTCTTATAAGCTTTTTTTATTAAATTTTTTTAAACATGATATTACTAGACTAAAAAAAAACTGACTTTTCTGGTTTTTTTCATGTACCCAATATTATTGAGCAACTAAACGTTTAATTGCTCCCACTGTGCGGTGGTTGTTTGGTTGTGGTTGTGTCGACCATAGAAACATTGAAAGTTTGTCCGGAAACGTCGTCAACGGGTCGACAAGAACATGTTTCAACGACGCTGTCCTTAATTTGTGTGACAGGGAATCCATCTGGGCCTTTGAACGTCGTCGTCACGGTAGGCACATCCGTACGTTCAAATCGTTGACAAGTACATATTTCAGCGACGTGTTTCTTTACTTGTGAGACGATCTGTCCATTTTCGTCTTTGAATGTCGAACTAGACAATACTGGCCTAGTCAGTGGACCAGCACTCGTGGACAGTGCAAAAAATACGACTAGTAAACACAATATGGAAATCTAAAAAAAAAAAACACCAATCGATAAGATAATATTATATTTTAAACGTGCAAAAACAAACAATTAAAGGTACCTTAGAGGTTACACGCATTTTCCAACAATTTACTGACGCGACACTTGCAATATTCACTCGATACGGACAATTGTTGTATAGTTGAACGGCTAATAATATAATAATAAAAAAATTAAAAAAATGATGTGAAACGTTATAAAAAATTTGTATATTATCGCTAAAATAGCCGAACACCCATTGCTCATATTACAGGTAACACCTTCAACTGGGAACTTGATCGTTAGATAACCTTACACTTAATTGCTAGTGAACATAACCTAACCTCGTGCACATTATACAATACTTCATTATATAAAAAAAAAAACAAAATTTACTTTTTGTATAATTGATTTTGTCTGTACAAAATATTAACACAGCATCTCGATAATATTATTCTTAAGGCTTAATCCTTATATCGCGCAAATTATTTTCTAAGTGTTCGTAAAAAAAAATTGTCTTCTACTCACTACTTTTAGACTTCTATTTATTTATAACAATATTGGTAATCGGGCTTTTTAAAAATGTTCAATAAGTGCAGTCTAAAAAGTGGAAAAAGTTATAATATTAGTCCTTATCAAATAATACTCAAACGGCAAAAAATACTGCAAACTCTTACTGACAACATTAACTCCCGTCAAAATGTTATACCAGATAACTAACACGAATTCATAATATATTTAAAAACATATATATATTATAGTTAGTTACATGATTAATAGATGGTCAATATCATGATATTGTGTTAAAAACTATAGTCTACTAATAGCTGTTATTTTATATAAAAGGAACTAGACTTAATATTATTTAATACATACCACCTGGCTTGCGCTTGCAATGATACTTGAAAATCAAAATAAAAGATTCTATCACTAAAATAGTTAATGTTGACAAAAAGTTTATTAAGATTTGGTAATTATGAACAACATTTACGTCGTTCTTTTACAAGCAAATTGTAGAAGCTATTCTTTTTTGCTATTACAACAATATTGTCATCGATCAAGATGGTTTTGATAATTTTTTTTTTTAATAAGTTTTTTATTTGTATAACTCATATATATTGTAAGTATGCCCAAGGTATGAAGACATTCAGGGGTTTGAAATTCATATTCATTCTCTGGTTTCACGCATTTCTTGTAGATATTTGGTAGCTGATATCAACGGATTAATAATAACCAGCAACACCAATGGCCAAGTAAGCGACATGACCTAGTTTTAACTTCAAAAATAAATAAATAAATAAACAGTAAGTCACACAGCAGTTGTGGTTTTTGCACTACTAAATTGTGAGTTTTAGGTTAAAGCTGTATTTTGTTTTTTTGGTTGTACGAAACAATGGACGCACAAAAACATATTTATTTCCATATTTGTTTGTTGTTATTGAGTTTTAGTACAGTATACTACTATTCAATGTTTTTTTTAGCACTAGTTTAAATAAACCATTTTACGGGTTATGGGAAGAAACAAATGTACAACAACATGTTTTTCGTCGCTCGTGTCGCTCTTTTATGGATACAGAGTGTCTCGTCAGGATTTAACAATATCTTCTTGAATTTAGATTTAGAACACTCTAGAATATGTGCACAAATTATATTTTATCGAAAAAATGTATGATGGCCATTGAAATAATAAGAACAATTAAACTTAGATTAGATTTTAATTATTTCTCACAACAAAATAAGTGTACTAGTTAATAATTGAATACTATGTACAACGCCAGTGTGAAATGTTCCCAAAAATAAAACGGATATTCAGTTTTTTTTTTGTGAGTCATAAATTGTTAGAAAAATGTGGTCATCGGCCATTCTTTTGCGAAAATGTTCTGTTTATTGAAATTTTACAATACAATGAATCAACTTCCTCGTTTTCCACAAAACAGTCATAATATCCTTGATTTTAATTTAGATATACGTCATATATCTACGAATTCAATATTTTTTAACGTGAATAAACGTTTAAGTACAATGCTATTCGGTATATTGTTAACCTTCATCATGTAAAAGTTCCATTCCCGTAAACGAGCCCAGAAGCGAAAAGATGTTTGCTCGTGTGTGCATGTATAGTTGTGAACAGTGTAGAGTTCAATAAGTTCAAAAGTAAAGCTTCCCAGAAACGGACAATGCCTTTTCAATAAGTGAAATATCCTTTTCAAATATCCGACGCACACAATGCCATCGCCGGGTTCTTCAAAACTATCCTAAGGCTATTACCAAAACGTTCGAGGGATCAATCATTGGGGCTTAAGAACTATTAATACTCCAGCTACGCATTGCTTTTGGACGTTTTAATCAAATGAGAAATACTCCGACTTGGAAATTATTAAAAATATTTCTCTGGTTCGGGTCAAGACACCGAGTTGTTTTTTTTTTCTGTACATCCCTTGCCAATAGCGTGTCCTCCCAAATTACAAAAAAATACTTGCACTTGTTGCACAGATGTATGGTTCAAACTTAAAACTTGAAACTATATAAAACATAAGACATGTTATGATAAAGCGTCAGCAATAGCTGAGGAAGCCAAAAAATATATAATACATAATATAATACGAGTATGTGCAAGGTTATAATAAGGTATAAGTTTCCCAATGATTGTTAGGGTTTTTATTTGTTTTGTTAACACACGTAATAAATGTGGGCATTATTTTATGTGCGTGTCGCGTGAGGAGCTGAAATCTGCAACCAAACAGGTCGACCCGGCGATGGACGGGGAAGCAGCAATAGAGTAGTAGAAGTAATAGTAGCCGGTTTTTTATTTTTGTGACACATTTTATTTCTATCGTTTTGGAGAAAAAAAAAATACCCCACGGAACGGATAATAATTACTACCCACGTGTGGACGGAGTTGAGGGAAAGGTTCGCCGCTGTAAGTATAATGTGTTCGTCGGCTAGGCGCGTTTAAAAAGATTCGTTTGTGCGTCCGCCAAAAGCGTATATATACTTACTTAATATATTTTACTCTATTATATTATATGTAATAATAATAATAACGCGATATATTATGCCCCGACATAATTCCGCAACGTGTAAGCGTTGTAGCCGACGTGCATAATATTGTACACACTGGCTAGTGCAACAGCGCACACATTATTGAGTGTGTCGAGACGATGCTATGATCGATAAATGTCTAAAAAAAAAAAAATAGATCGTTAAGCTACTACCTTATCGTAACCGTATCATTAATACCACTAACAAGTTGTTAAACAAAAACATGCTCTATACACAAGAACATTGCCCACGCGGAAATCGAATACAGAGTGATCATTATGAAAAGCTGAAGTCGACATTATTGATGTACACTTATTGTGTTTTAGTTCTAAGAACAAAGTTCGGGCACATTATTCATCCATGTTTGATATAACGTTTTTTTTTCGGTACGGCATATGTACACCAGAAATGGCCATAAAGTTTGTTTTTTTACATATATATAAAAATATGACTAGTGCTACATCGGCGATGACTGTTGTGCTGTGCAATATTATAATAAATTAAATAAAACAACAAAAGTTCCATTCGTCGCTATACAGACAACAATTAATACTTTTGATATTAATTTATAAATAATTGTTTTTTTTTTAAACCATTCAGCGATAATTATTTTATTCGACCTTATCGAGCGTTATTGGTTTTGATAACAACCGAAAAATAGTATTTTGAGTGTTACTATAAAAGTTAATTTACATTGAATAATATAATATAGTAATTTCGACGAATTCTCGAAATGAATTAATTTAACGACGACCGGACATGAAAATAAATGAAAAATATCAAGCGGGAGTTAGGAGATCTCCATATGTAAGTGTCATTATATAAAAAGGCAAAATTAAATGTTAAAACGCTTCTTAAAAAAAACGAAAAATAATAATAAGAGAATTTGAAGAAGTCGGAGAACGGTATTTTCACTCAAGTCGGTCTGTGAAAGAATGACGTTAACTAGTCACTTTCCTAGTCACTCATAAAGAACCATCTCGGTCAAATAACATATAATAATGTCAATCCGAATGCTTTTTTTTTTGTGCTGGTCTTTTAGATTAAGTATAGATTAAGGGCCCTATCACTGGATAGCTTCTCTACTCGTAGTCTACAAGTCATTTATTACATTGTTAGCATATTTTTTATGTACAGGTTGTAAATGTTATTTTTAAATTAAAATTAAAAGATAAAAAAAGTATAGATTATGCGAGATAATGGTGAGGTAGGGAAGTAGGGATTAACAGACAACTTGGAATTTAGATTGCAACTATTAACCTGTATAGTCTTTGATGGATATTATTGTCAGAATGTAGGGTAATCGTATAGCAGATCATAGTGCTGTCGATAGACATATCATAGATAGACAAATTAATAATTATTAAATCAGCCTGAAATACTTATGACAATATACATTAGTAAGTGTATCTAATTTAGTGGTTTAAACAATGTTATGTTGTTATCGTGAGTCAACTAAGCCAAATGACCGTGTTTACTTTTCAGTCATAATAACATACTATGTAATCTACCTAATCCTCAAATAATGGCAATACATAATTTTATTGTAGTAATAAATTATACTAAACAATGGGCTAGGTTGAAGATTTAAAAGTAGTACAATTTGGGATTAAAAAACGGAATATAAGAAGATATGTTATCATGCAACCATAACAGTTATCAATAAAAATCCAAACACTTATTATAGCTGCTATAGTATAAAATTATATTATATTGTATTATTTTGAAAACTAAAATGATTCGTATTTTTTTTTCCTTGGGGTTGGCAATCACACACAATGTTGTCTATTCCGAGAATATCTATAAGGCCTACAATAATACAAACGGATTAGATTGGTGGCAAACCGGTATCATCTATCAGGTTTATGTGAGATCATTTAAAGATACCAACAGTGATGGCATTGGTGATTTAAACGGTAAGTACATATCATAGTAAACAGTGTATTCTATTCATAAGCTATTTTTAAAATTCATGAAATAATTTAATTTAAAAAAAAGACAGGATGCCAGTTCAAATATTTGCTTTCTTGTTGAAAATAGTTTTAATTCCGATAGATTTTTGTTGAACTCCAACGCTTGTTCGCATCCCATAATTATGTATAACTTTAAAAAATATGAGATGGTTTCTACAAAAAGACAACGGTGTAATTGTTTGTTTTCATCTATTAATAGTTGGTCATAATATTTATTTATTTAATACAAAAATGTATTAAAAATGTACAGTTTGTAATATGATTAACGTTAGGCGATGTGGCGTTGGTGAACTATTAATTTAATTATGGTGAATTTTAGTGATATAATTAAATACATTTTTTTAGGAGTAACTCAAAAAGTAAACTACTTAAAAGATTTAGGCATTGGTGCAATTTGGCTTTCTCCGATATTCGAATCACCACAGTTTGACTTTGGTTATGACATATCAAATTTTAAGCAAATTGAAAAAGTCTTTGGAACTTTAGCAGATTTTGATCGCTTGCTTAATACATATCATAACGCCGGTAAGCATTATTTTTTTAGTTTGCTCAAAAATATTTATAAAAAAAAAAAATAGAAATAAATAAATTAGTAACCCAGTTTTATTATGTTGATTCCCCTAGTCAAGCTCAATTTGGACCTTTTCGAAGTGATAATTTTCCGCTATAATACCTCTTAACCCGTTGTTACACAACCAACGCTAACTTTTTTGTTTAATTGTAATACTGTCGGTACACATATGCATTAATATATTAATATGAGAAATGTAATCTTAGGAATAAAAGTTTTATTGGATTTTGTGCCAAATCACTCGAGTCATTTGCATGAATGGTTTTTGAAATCTGTGAAAAAAATTCCACCATTCACAGACTACTATGTTTGGGAAGATCCAGTTTACACAAAAGAAGGAAAACAACCTCCTAATAATTGGGTAAAAAACATTATGAACTTTCTTTGCTATCTACACATTAACAATGATTTTTATCAATACACTTAAGTGCGCTATGTCATAGTTTGATTATCTAGGTGTATATTTTCAAATTAATTAAAATGGTTACCCCCCTTTCAGATATTCAGTGCTTACATTCAGTTGTTTTGAATAAATTCTTTTAAGCCATTTGTCCTATATCATTTATGGGGTTTGGATACCGATTATTCCGGTCTTCGTCTATCCTACGCTAAATAAAGAAATGAATACGTATATTTTGTGAATCGATCAGTACGATCGTATAGCGTTGTATAATGAAATTTACTTCTACTTATTGATACATATTATAACAATTTCTGTAGACCTGCGACTCACCGGCTATGATCATTATCTGACCCCATTCTACTAGCTTTTTAAAATTATTTTCATGATGGATTAATAAACTAAATTATGATTGTTTTAGTTAGCAGTATTTAACAGCGGTTCGGCATGGGAGTGGAACGAGGAACGTCAACAATATTATCTTCATCAGTTCTTGGTTGAACAACCAGACTTTAATTATAGATCTCCAATGCTAGTAGAAGAAATGAAGGTACAACAATAATATTTTCCAATAATAATACATTCCAAGAAAATATTTTTATACGATATCTGAAAATGATATTTTATGATCTATAAATGTTGTATTATTTAAAAGAATCATTATTTTAGAACGTTTTGCGCTTTTGGCTGGACCGTGGCGTGGACGGTTTCCGATTTGACGCAGTTAACTTTATATTCGAAAGAGCTGATTTAGTCAACGAACCGGAGTCTGGCGATCCTGAAAGCGAACCTAATGACTATTATTCTTTAAATCATATATATACTTTAGATCAACCGGAAACGTATGAAATGGTTCACCAATGGAGAGAGGTGATAGACAGTTATAAGAAGAGCGAAAACGATACATCCAGGCAAGGACAATAATTTATATTAGCACATACATTAAATCTGCAAACGAACATCTTTGTTTAAAATCCAAAGGATTTTTTTTTTTTTAAAGAATTTTTGCTACCCTCACAAATAAGAATTATAATAAGGGAAACAATTAACCTCCGAATATATATATATAAAATGTTTTTCACACACGTTTTCAGAATGTTTATGGTAGAATGTTACTCGCCCGTGGATAAAATCATGCAATACTACGGTAATGATACAGCACTCGGAGCTCATTTTCCATTTAATTTTTTCTTCATTGAACATTTCAATCGTCAATCGGACGCTAAACAAATGAGAGACGTTATTGCCTCTTGGTTAGCCAATATACCAGAGGGAAGATGGCCAAACTGGGTAGTAAGTTATCACAATATTGGTTTATTAGTCAACCTATTTCTTCAGCCATTATCATTATCTTTTAGCTTGGAAACCACGATAAGAATAGAGTAGCATCGAGACTAGATTCAATGCTTATTGATGGAATCCAAATGGCACAAATGCTATTGCCGGGTACGACCGTCACCTATAATGGCGATGAACTCGGCATGGAAGACACGTACATTCGATGGGATGAAGCAGTTGACCCGTGGGGATTAAACGTGGGAATCAGGCGATATGAAAAGTTTACCAGAGATCCACAAAGGAGTCCATTCCTTTGGGATAATTCCCTAAATGCAGGTATCTATAACAGAAAACTATTATAATTTGATGTAAATGCCTAATGCCCATTGTGTAATATATTTTGAATAGGGTTTTCCGACGGTCCTAAACCTTGGCTTCCCGTCAATCCAAAGTTTTGGAGGGATAACATGCAACAACAAACAAAATATAAGAGCCACTTGAGAACTTACAAACAGTTGGTGAGTTTAACAAAAAGCCCAACAATATTGTACGGAGACTTAAATGTGTTCATTTTATCAAAATGGGTGCTTGGTTTTTCAAGGTAAGTTTAATGTTATACTTACCAGATGTTGTCGTCAGTAAAAAATTATTTTACGTCCGATCCAGGTTGTAGTTTAAATCGAATGTTACTTTTATAGGAGTTATTTAGACCATCCAACATACTTTGTTGTTATTAATTTGGGTAGTGAGACGGAAAGAGTTAATCTTTTAAATGCTAGATATACTTTACCACACATTTTAAAGGTCAAAGTTTCAAGTGTTAACTCAGGTCTTGTCACAGGGTAAGTTTATTAGTGAACTCATATTAGAAAACATTTATGTTGTTAATTCGATAACATTAATAGAATTTGTAAATACATTTTTAGGAATTTGGTGCGAACCGAAAACATTATTTTAAGACCAAAGGCTGCACTCGTCATGACAACGTCTAGAACTAATGAAGATGATGATAATTTTTAAATAATTATAGTTAATAAATTTGTATTATATTTAAAATATATTAAATTATATAATATATATGACATATCGTTTTTTTTTTTTTAATTTCTCGTTTACTTGTACATTTGTTTAAACTATTGAGGTACTTTTTAATGAAATGGTTGTTTTTCTCAAATCAGTAATAATAATGAACATTCAAAACATTTATGTATAGTATAAGTGAAAGATCGGCAGTACAACTTAATAAGGACGAGTGGCTTACAGGTTTGTTTTGGTCCAGTGGAATTGAGTGCATTTAATTCGCTTGTACATAATTCGTGTGCATTTGAGCACACGAACAAAGGTATAAAGCAAAAGGATCTCAACGGATCTTGTTTATTATAACTGAATTACAAGAGGAACCATATTAATCAGGTGACATTTACTGGTATACCCGTTATTGTATTGGTTAGATAACTGTACACTCATAATGATTGTTTTAACAATTATTTTTAATACATTACTGCACAAATAAATATTAACAATTTTATTCATAAAAAATTCAGCGTACCGCTTACTATCTAAATTGTCAAGATTACACAATTTACTTACTCGTTAGGCACTCAAATCCACAACTGTTCGGTTGTATGGAAATCGGTAAAATTAAATGAAAACAATGTACAAAATCAAATCAATAAGACATAATTATCATTTGACATTGATGATATTTACTAACACCAAGCTGTAGCTAACAATATATACTACTCCATTAAAGGAGCCAAGTATAGGCAACAATTGTTACACCGAGCAAACGACGGTCCGCCTGTGTATAAATCTGTATAAAAATCTAATGTACAAATAGGGGATTCCCCCGTCTGGTAAGTCTGACTTACTTACAGAGTGCTTGTATGATTGGTGTGTTTGTGTGCAATAATTATAATAGCAATATTATACTCTTTTCCAAACCACCCTTGAGGTAGAGTATCAGGCTCGTTTTTTTTTGCAATGGTTTATTAACTCCGGATATTGTCATGACATCACATTTTTTATTGTTTTCCAGCCTTGACCGTTTAGCTTAATTTTCTTTAACCGAGACACTTAGCTCGCCAAGCTAATTTAAATTTACTTATAAAATTATTATTAGGTAGTATTTTCTAAACTATTATATTATATTTTCTGAATTCCACACTGCCCTGCCCTTACACATTTCAATTTTTTAACATCACACACTTTAATAGTGTTCAGCATAGGTAAGTTGTCTGAACGTTTCGGAAAGTCATGGTTGTTCTTAAATATTTTTTATCAACTTAACAACACTAAATTGCCTTTCGTTAGACGCAGAAGAATCCTGAAGTCTGGGTTATCTGTTGCTGCTATTACATTTTCTTGATCAAGATCATAAACTTCATCAGTTGCTACCTCTGGAAACTAGTTGTTATATTAATAAAAATGCTTTTTGCTTAAACAACAACAACAAAAATTTACTTTTGTCAAGACTGGGTTATCTGTTGCTATAACTACTTCTTTTCTTTTTTCCCTAACACTGTTAAACTATTTTTAAGAGTTATATTTTGGTTAATACCATTTGACTTGGTAGTACACCTACACTATATCTACTTACGACTTAAACACTTTATACATTTGGCATAGGCAGCTGTTGTATACTTACATTATTAGACATTTTACTAATGATTCCATCAATGAGTTCCATCCGTTCTATTGAATTTTGACCTTTATTCCGTCATGCTTGTAACGTTCGTTTGTAAGTCTGTAGTCGTTATTGAAAATGTTGCCACATTAAACGGTTTTGGTTTGAGGAAACAAAAGTACAATCATTTTGACCAATTGTAATTACTATGTAATGATAATATTGATACTATATAATTATAGGTTTTTCTCCACAATATGCAAATAAGCAACTCAGTTAAATTACATTGTTCATGACACTTGTGGAGGAAAACCAATCACTATTATTGTATAAGGATAATATTACAAAGTGTACTGAGTATTGAAAAAAAAACTATTGCAAATGATTTGTGCCAAAATATTTGGTTAATAATACACTTACCAGCAGCTTGTGAAGTCCGGTGGTTGCCTAAATGTATACTACTATACTTGAATACTATTGCAACCTGCTTGTAATCTGAACTTTGTAAGTACAATTTTTTTTACAGACTTTTTTTTCCAGGGTGGCTATATGGGCGTCCTTGGTCTCCAGGGTAGCGGTCAGCGTGCCGCCGGAGGCTATCCCCATACTCTGCGTCTGATACGATTCCTCTAATTCCGTTTGGCCTTTAAGTCCTGCGTGGTCGAATCACAAAAAAAAAATAAAACATGGGTATCGAAAAAAAAATGTACCCAACTACATATTGCACAAATATACGTTATCAAATATCTATCGTAGTTTAACGATTCGTATGTATATTGGGAATGTCTTGGCAACCTGTTAGTGACATATTCTTCTATAAAATTCAAAATCTAGATTTATCACTAACATGTACAAAAAGAAATGTCTTATCTGACTTGGCAAAAGTGTTCGATCCACTGGATCTCATGTTTCCAACAAGCGTGCAGTTTAAAATCATAATTAAGAAATATATATATATATATAAATATATGACTGAGAGTCTATGCTACTATTTGAGCTTTGTACTTGGACGCACTCTTAAGTCGATGTATCTTAAGCGCATTGCAGGGAATTCGTCTCTGACTTATCGCGAAATGATAACATTACTAGTGCTTTGTGAAGCATGCTCAAATTAGTCCAATTAGTCAGATGAAAAAATGATATGTGACAACAATTTTATGTTAATAATAATATTGTTTTGTAAAATGTGTTAATTTTTAAATATATTATGTATGCAAGTGTTTGTGAAAATGTCTGTAACTTTTTTTTTTTCACTTAGTATAAAATCAAATGTACACTACAATAACAATGAACAAAAACACAAGCCTTGGTATAAAAATCACACAACAAAATTATCTACAGGAATTCCTTTGATTTCATATTACAGTCAATAACCTTTACTAAATCATATTTGTTTTGTTGTCCGTTTATAATACATATTATATTAATATAAACTTATAGACTTAACCTCTTAGGTGTCAATAAAATTAAATAAAATTAGTACAGTACATACCAAGCCAAACCAGTATAAATCAAACCAAAGACAATTTAAACTAGAACGGTAAAAGATAGCACGGAGAGGATAGCTCAAGACAGTTCAAGAATATACCGATAAACCAAGTACAAAAATAAACCAGCATAGTGGCTCAAAAATCAAGATGGTTGTTTAAACCGTATACTGTACAAGCAAGTAGGTAAAGTCTAAACCTCTACAGTATAATCCGGCTCAGTAAGAAAGTAGCATAATAATTTTTGGTAGTTGTTAATTTTAAAATGTTAAATTCACAGTCGCTTCGGTACAAATTTGTAAATAGTAAGTACACAGTACAGTAAAAATTAAGTACAGTCGAAACCAATACAGTTCAAACTACGCACAATTTATGTCAGTGCATTCCAAACTAATACAGTATAAATTATAAACCAAGCAGTATGGTTAAAACCAATCACATTAAGAAATTACCAAAGTGGTGTCCACTATCCACAGACTCATTTATCCATACGATTTTATTATGAATAGGATTTCTAATAACATGAATATTAAATCAAGAAAGTGACTGTAATTTAAATTCACCATCATAGACATAGTTTATAAGAAATTATATTATTATGTTCAAATTTTGAAGAGGTTGTTTATTTGTATAGAAATTATTATATCATAACGTATACAATTATTTATTAATATTATTATTATTATTATTAGTCTAATGAAATATATGTTTTATAGTTAATATAATTTTGAGTTATGTTGGAAATATTCGACTATTGTTATTCGAATTCTTTCATATCGAAATCTAGACTTTGTAACTCATCAGTACATTCTTCAGACCTCACCACACGTTGTGTAGGATTGAGTTCATCGATATATTCTATTAGTAACTGAATGATGGTAAAGTCGATATTATCGAAAACAAATTCCAGTTGAGTTAGGAAACATCTGGTATTTTCCAAACTATTGCGCTTGATCGGCTCGTCGCTGGACGGTTTTTTCTCAGATATTATTTTTTGTCCGATCCGGCTTATAAACGGAAAAGTGAATTCTCGATTGTCTATAAAGAATTCATTGCCAGCATCGCATCCGAAAGGTTGACAAAGCGTAATTAGCGTTGTAGTTAAAAATTCGACCATAAATTGTAATGTCTTTGTACCGTCGATAAGATTTCTGAGATTTTTCAGCAAGTCTTTTACATTTGAATGATCGGACAACTTTATTATAGTGCTAAATTGTACCACTATATTGTACCATTCTTGCACGTATTGCAAGAAGGGGAGTGACCTAAAAGGGTAATCCTTTAAATATGTTACGTGTTTTAACGACAGACGGGTTATGATGATTTCTAAAAAGTCAGAGCACGAGTTATAGTATAGTTTAATCGGGTAAAGGTTGCTGTTAGTCCAATCCAGATACCGCGCGTTCTTGTAAGCTGTATTCAGTATATCGATAGTATTGTTCCAATTAATTTGCAAGTTGTATACGTTCTGTAATTCGTATAGGAGCTTGTCGTGACTGCCCAGGTTGTGCCAAAAAAGAGTTTGAATTCTTGTTTTCAATTCGATCCTTTGTTTCAACGAACCATCACTTACGATATCGTTTCTCTGCAGTTGTTCTGTGACTTTGACCAAGTGCTCTTTGAGTATGGTTGTTTTATAATAAACGGGTCCGTACGTCTGAAGTGATTTCACCACGTCATCATAGGAGTCGAAAGAATTGTCTGGACGGCAACCGGCTTGGTCGGCTTTCAGTTTATTGATGACATAGACAAGAGTGACAGCAATCTTCGGATGGTCTACCGCCGGATTTTTTGCTTTCTGATAATTAGTATTTACTAGGCCCGAGTACAAATACACTAACCACATGGCGCCAATGCGTATTCCTTTCAATCCAATCAACGAAACTATCTGGGATCTCACTACATTGACGATACTACTGATGGGACTGAGCATCCCTCTCAATTCTGTATTATAAGGTTCCTCT